CAATGTCCCCCGCCTCCCCTGGAACATTTTAGAAGTTCTGTCGGAGGTGGGAATTGAAGCTCCTTCTGACAGGAGACTCTGCCAGACGTTCCCAGCAGACCCTCGCAATACGTTTGGGCCCGCCTGGTCTGACCGGGATCCTCCCTCACCATCTGAGCCAACTCACCACCAGGTAGTGGTCAGTTGACAGCTCCACCCCTCTATTTACCCGAGTGTCCAAGACATGCGGCCGCAGGTCAGATGAAACAACAAAGTTGATCATCGAGCTGCAGACTAAGGTATCCTGGTGCCAAGAGCACATATGGACACCTTTATGTCTGAACATCGTGTTCATTATGGACAATCTATGACTGGCACAGAAGTCCAATAACAAAACACCACTCAAATTCAGATTGGGGGGGGCTGTTCCTCCCAACCACACCTCTCCAGGTCACACTGACGTTGCCCACGTGAGCACTGCACTACCTGACCCCTTTGGCCCCTCCCACGAGTGGTGAGCCCATGGGAAGGGAATGTGATTTATGGTAATTATATGTGAATGTGAGGTTATCAGAACTTTTGTATCTAGAAGGACTGAGTTCTGGGTGTCAAATAATTGGTTTGCGTTAAACTATGAAGTTGGTTCTTATCAGAAAGGCATCAGACACAATCTGTCATGTCTATGTACCCCAAGTGGAGACTCTCTTTATGATCCGAGATGTCGGGGGGTCGGTTGACCCCAAGGTACCGAAGTCCGTAGGAAAAACCGCAGTATGACCAGGTCAGTCCAGAGTCGTCTCCAGGTCACGACAGGTTGGAACTAGTTTGCGTCTCGAATGGATCTTAAGGATTCTTGCTGTGTCAGCGGTAGGCAGCTTTTAGCAGGGTTTTGACAGCTTGTCAAATAAACTCTGGGTCAAAGAGGTTTTGCTGCGGACGGCCATTCCGTAGCTTTCTCTAGAACTCAATGCTGAATCTCACAGGCTGGAAGCTGGAAGTATAAGTGCTGAATCACTGTAAGTGATTCGTCTTCGTCTTCGTCTTCCTCCGCTTATCCGGGTCCGGGTCGCGGGGGCAGCATCCCAATTAGGGAGCTCCAGGCCGTCCTCTCCCCGGCCTTGTCCACCAGCTCCTCCGGCAGGACCCCAAGGCGTTCCCGGACCAGATTGGAGATGTAACCTCTCCAACGTGTCCTGGGTCGACCCGGGGGCCTTCTGCCGGCAGGACATGCCCGAAACACCTCCCCGGGGAGGCGTCCAGGAGGCATCCTGACCAGATGCCCAAACCACCTCAACTGGCTCCTTTCGATCCGGAGGAGCAGCGGTTCTACTCCGAGTCCCTCCCGAATGTCCGAGCTCCTCACCCTATCTCTAAGGCTGAGCCCGGCCACCCTACGGAGGAAACTCATTTCGGCCGCTTGTATCCGCGATCTCGTTCTTTCGGTCATTACCCAAAGCTCATGACCATAGGTGAGGATTGGGACGTAGATCGACCGGTAAATCGAGAGCCTGGCTTTCTGGCTCAGCTCCCTCTTCCCCACGACAGATCGGCTCAGCGTCCGCATCACTGCAGACGCCGAACCAATCCGCCTGTCGATCTCCCGATCCCTCCTACCCTCACTCGTGAACAAGACCCCGAGATACTTAAACTCCTCCACTTGAGGTAGGACCTCTCCCCCGACCCGGAGGTGGCAAGCCACCCTTTTCCGGTCGAGAACCATGGTCTCAGATTTGGAGGTGCTGATCCTCATCCCAGCCGCTTCACATTCGGCCGCGAACCTACCCAGCAAGAGCTGAAGGTCAGAGCTGGATGAAGCTAGGAGGACCACATCATCCGCAAAAAGCAGAGACGAGATTCTCCTGCCACCAAACTCGACACACTCCACACCACGGCTGCGTCTAGAAATTCTGTCCATAAAAGTGATGAACAGAACCGGTGACAAAGGGCAGCCCTGGCGGAGTCCAACCCTCACTGGGAACAGGTCCGACTTACTACCGGCTATGCGGACCAAACTCACGCTCCTCTGGTAAAGGGACTGAATGGCCCTTAACAGAAAGCCACCCACCCCATACTCCTGGAGCGTCCCCCACAGGGTGCCCCTGGGGACACGGTCATAAGCCTTCTCCAAATCCACAAAGCACATGTGGATTGTTTGGGCAAACTCCCATGCCCCCTCCATCACCCTTGCAAGGGTATAGAGCTGGTCTACAGTTCCACGGCCAGGACGAAAACCACATTGCTCCTCCTCTATCTGAGATTCAACTATCGATCGGACCCTCCTCTCCAGTACCTTGGCGTAGACCTTTCCAGGGAGGCTGAGGAGTGTGATCCCCCTATAGTTGGAACACACCCTCAGGTCACCCTTCTTAAAGAAGACTGTAAGTGATTCTGTTTTCATATTCTCACATTATTATGATTTCTTGGCCAACCGGAACGTGCCATGTTACAGGATATTACCAAGAACCTCAGAACATCTTCTTTCAGATACCGGATGCTCTTATTTGGGGTAAGGAAATATATATGTGTCACGAGTTTAACTTAACTTTAATGGACCTTGTGTCTGAGTGTAGGTGATGATATCAAACATTACTGATTACCATATATATAAATCATTCAATGTAATAATTCATTTCATTTCAAACTTTCAGTAGTTCAAGCACAGATTAATCAAAACATTATTGATCATTTCATATAACATTTGTTCTTTCCATTTCCTGACTGATTAACACATATGAGCTGAAAATAGTCACTCTTATAACAGTCCAGTCCGGCCTATAACCAGGCAGGCTTGGCACAGAAGGACCTTGAGAAGGGAACAGTTTGTTGACAATATGTTATCATGTGCTTCGAGCTGCAGAGAGGCCCGGGCTCCAGCTGATGGAATGGCAGGATCCGGCAGATTAAAGGCCACAAATGTAGACTCCTGTCTCCATATGACCAAATACTGAAGGGGTCAAACTGTACACGAAAACTGACCATTTCTGGACATTACATAGATCTTTGAACTCCTTTCAAATTCTTTTAATTCCTTTCAAAAAAACATTTGTTTTTTTTTTACTTTTTGCCGCAATAAGGATCAAATGGAATACACAGGTTTCAAATATATAAACAGTTATCAGAATTTAAGTAGTTTCCAGAAAACAATTTTGTTTGTGCTTTGTACAGAAGCTTATTGCTGCCAGTGCAAGAAAAAAATAAAGGAGCCATATCTCTTAACAACTTATAAAAGTCATTTTTCTTCCAATAATGTGTTTAATATCTTGTAGTAACAAGAACGGTCATGACTTAAAATGTCAACTATACAGTATGTTGCGGAGTTTCGCACCGAACAAGTGGCAGGGAGCAACTTTTTAACTCTTCAATAAGTTAGAAAGGGCAAGAAATGCGTAATGTCTTTAGGATGACTTGTTGACCAGTTTGCAAATAAAATTAGGGAAAACCGTAAACTAAATTTCTTGACTGTTGCATTTTATTTGCATTTTCAAAACATGGCCCCAGCTGATCTGGTCGTATGTGAACCTTCCCATCAATTCAGTGTGATTCCAACCAAAAATTTTCCATTTCTTTCCACAATGTTTTTCTCCAACTAGTCACAGTATTTCATTTGACTTTCATCTGTCATTTCAGAACATTTAATTCAGTGTCTGGTACTAATCTGAACATCCATCCTGGATTATTTGAGCAGCAGAAAGCAGCACCGTTGGTTTTAAATGTTTGCAACAGTGTCTGACTGGAGCCAGCTGCTCTGATCCCTGATGTGATGTTGCTTCAGGCACACAACCATTCGATTCTTCTCTCTCCTGATTGTGTTTTTGTTTGCTGAGAGCCTTCAACCTCTCGAGAACGAGAAGCAACTAATTCTATCTGCTTTGATCAGCTTCTGCCTTGAGCGTACTTTTGAAAGAAGGTAAAACTATTACAGTAATTGACTGATTTATTGATTCCATCTGTCACTAGCCATCGAGTTATCTAAAACTCATTAGTTTGAGTTTTTGTGTTTTAGCTGTGAACACATCTGGAGCCAGGCGTTCAACAATGCAATTTAGAAATGCATTAAAAAACATGCTGCTGCAATATTTTTGCTGAATATTGTGATAAATATCTGTTCATGTGCTTCAGCATTTTAACCACGGTCATCTAAATTGGATGGGGTGTGTTTGGTGCAGTTGGAGATTAGCACCTTAGTCCTCTTCCTTAATAACCTTTCAATAGATTTTTTATATTTTAAGCATCCCTGAGTTAACTGCATTCAGGGTAGCTTTCTGAAAGATAAAAGAATTTGGCGAGTTTTGATTTACACTAAATCTTGGGTGTTTCTGTTGCTAGTAAATTACTTCAAAACTGGGAATGATATCTCTTTTTACCACTTTAGCTCCTAATAATCTTTCTGCTGGTGATAAGAATAAAAAAATGTATATTTGTGACTGGTAGACGTTCATTTTTTACAGCGAAATCCATTTTCCATTCTAACTTCTGTTTACTCAGGTTTTGTGTAGTTTAGTGTTTACAGGTAATATCAATCATTCTAATGACTCCAGCCGAGACAGAAAATCGATAAAGTTTTGTAAAACCAAAAGAAGTGCTTTACTTTCTGAGTCAAGGTCAAACAGGCATTCGAAGTTTTTATTTTGGTGGCTTCACTTCCTCATTGCTCCACCCTCCATGTCCAGACTACTGTCAGAGCAAAGGTTGGAATTCAGCCGGGAATTTACTATTGTGTTAGTGTGAGCAATGCCGACAAGTGGAAGCACATACGTCGTGTGTGGTTAAACTTTGTCCTACTGAAACAACGTGGGAAGTTCCAGACTGTGTGTGTGTGTGTGTGTGTGTGTGTGTGTGTGTGTGTGTGTGTGTGTGTGTGTGTGTGTGTGTGTGTGTGTGTGTGTGTGTGTGTGTGTGTGTGTGTGTGTGTGTGTGTGTGTGTGTGAGAGAGAGAGAGAAATAGAGTGTATGAGGCAGGGACTGATTACGTAGATGGCGTTCATCCACTAAAAGCGTGTCACTTTTTCAGAACTACTGAGCCTAAATCATTGTCATTGTGTTCTAGAGATACAAACTTTTATTTTTATTATTATAATCACTATCATTTCTGAATACATATGTTTTTCCACAGTTCCTGACCAGAAACCCGGCGCGGCGTCTCGGATGTGTGGCGTCAGACGGTGGCGAGGATGCCGTGGTCAACCATGCCTTCTTCGCTAGCATTGACTGGGAAAAACTAAATCGCAAAGAAATAGAGCCACCTTTTAAGCCGAGGATTGTAAGTCACAAAAAAACGACTTCACTAATTAGGGTTGTGAGAAAATATCGATACGCTGGTTGTTATGATACTGAATCGATATTTACTAGCAGTGTGTTGAGTTTTCAGTTGTGAAAAACAAACTTTACACTATTTATTTTATGTGGCACAGTCCAAAATCCAACTGCTAATTGGTAGTGGTTTTTACTGCCTTCGCAATTACACCACCAGCCTGAACCGTTGATGCCAAATTCTGACCCTACCATCTGAATATTGCAGCAGAAATCAAGACTCATCAGACCAGGCAACATTTTTCCAATCCTCTATTGTCCAGTTTTGGTGAGCCTGTATGAGCCATAGCCTTAGTTTTGTCTTCTTAGCTGACAGGAGCGGCACCCGGTGTGGTCTTCTGCTGCTGTAGCCCATCTGCCTCAAGGTCTGACGTGTTGTGCGTTCAGAGATGCTCTTCTGCATACCTTGGTTGTAACGAGTGGTTATTTGAGTTACTGTTGCCTTTCTATCAGCTCGAACCAGTCTGACCATTCTTCCCTGACCTCTGGAATCAGCAAGGCATTTTCATCCACAGAACTGCCGCTCACTGGATGTTTTCCCCTTTTTGGACCATTCTCTGTAAACCCTAGAGATGGTTGTGCGTGACAATCCCAGAAGATCAGCAGTTTCTGAAATACTCAGACCAGCCTGTCTGGCACCAACAACCACACCACGTTTAAAATCACTTAAATCCCCTGTCTTCCCCATTCTGAAGCTCAGTTTGAACTATAGTGGATCGTCTTGACCATGTCAACATGCTTAAATGCATGGAGTTGCCACCATGTGATTGGATAATTAGTAGTTTGCGTTAACGATCGGTTGGACAAAGTGGCCAGTGAGTGTATATCGTATCGTTTCCCCAGTATTGTGATAATTATCGTATTCTTGCCAATGCTCACCCTTATTACTAATAACATGAGAATACATCAATTTTGGGTTTGCTTAATCTGCATTTTATTTATTTTATTTGTTCTCCCCAGAAAGCACCAGAAGACGTCAACAACTTCGACCCAGATTTCACTCGGGAGGAGCCCACCCTCACGCCCATCGATGAGCTTGTGATCCCGTCCATCAACCAGGAAGAGTTTACGATGTTTTCCTTCACCTCACCTGAACTGCTTGACCTCTAAGAGCCTCCAGCTTCATTCCGCTTGTGTCTTTCTTCACATTTTTATTTAATTGCTGAAAGACACTTACTTTTCCTCAGAAATGTGCTGAACTCTGAAAAAAGTCGAACACGGCTCAAAAAAACAAACATAACGGGGCTGTAACCAAACTGTAATCTATGATGTTGCATGTTTACCAAATTTTGAGCACACACACACACACACACGCGCGCGCCAAAGAGATGTTTTGAACTTTGTTAGTTTTGCTTACTTTTTTCTCCAAATGAAAAAGCACTTTTTAAAAAAGATACTTCACTGTATTTGTCCATTATAGAAGAGCCAGCCAGATTCCCAGTAAAGTCTAAATACCAGTTAAATCGTGGAAAAGCTGACTGAGCAGATGAAATACGTTCTCGCTGATGTAATCCAACACTGGAAAAATATAAATTCACACAGACAAATTGGCTAGGGAAGTTTTCTCTGTCGAGTTAATGAAACCGCTGTTTAAGTTCCTCATGTGATCAGATTTAATTAACAGCTGCACTCCGAGAATAAGCACAGGTGTGTATAAACAATTTATAGGTCACAAAAATGTTACTTGTCTGTGTAATTTGATCATGCAGGTTTTTTTAAAGAGGAAGTTACCCGTAGATCAACTTTTTTTTGCTCATGGACCATATAAACGAGTGTCTAATTGTGCTGTAGACAAATGTAGTCAATAATTTGGCACTTCAGTGCATCTTAGTTAAAATTTAAATATTCTGCCTAAAACTCAGTGTTGTGCCCTCTTCAGTACAAAACTCTGCACACATTTGAATTTAAATCTGCCATCGCTATTGGCTAAGAGGTACACTACGACGTTAGCTGGTACCATATGATGTCACAGTGCCATTGTGAATCTGTGTGTGTTTATTTGTTAGGGACTTTGCCCTCTTGGTCTGTCAGGCTACAGCATTTGTTGCATTTTTCAAACAGGAAGTGGGAGTGGAGTAAGACTCTGTTAGGGGGTAACTTGCTCTTTAAAGATGATGCAACATTTCACTGAGGGCAAGCGCATCCTGCTGACTCATGCTGATTGTAAAAGATATAAAAATCTGTAGATTTCATCACTCTGATCAAAAACAATGCAAAACTGCCTACAGCGGTTTGTTAGAACAATATAATGCAGTCACTGTTCTCTCTGAGCAAACACACAACCTTTGAAAGCATCCAGTTCTGTGTGCAGACATTAGTAGTAGGAAATCACGAGGCTGTTTATTTAATTTTTTTAGAAATATAAAAACGCCAAAAAAAGAAAAAAAGACAATTCCACCAGTGTGAGACATAAAACAAAGCCAGGCAGCCAGTATTGTTTCTTTAAAGTAACAATAATCAGTCATTCTGTGTGGGGAGGCAATTTGTTTTCACTGCAAACCAGTTGAGGATAAACAGGAAACCACACACTACGTCATTACTGTCACCTTTTGATCGAAACAGGAAGACAGGAGCCTCGTATCGGGGCCTTTCAGTGCTAGTGTTGCTAGAGTACACGGTGAGCTTTTGGCAGCATGGAAATAAATAAAACAACATTGAAAGAGAAGTAAACTTGAGATGGAGCTCTTGGGGGTGAAACTGCTCAGACATGACCAAATCTTGACCAAACCTTGCAGGACATGGATACATCCTGTATGTAATGAGGAAGTGTTCAGGCGCCACATCTCCCAAACACATGTCCTGATGAGGAATAAATAGCCTCTGCACATTTTGAAATGAAAACCAGATGCGTTTTTCCAACTGAATTATTTTACAGCATTTTTATTATTTTATTTTACAGGAATCTCGTCATATTTATTATTCACATAAGCCGCCTAAGGATGAACTAAATATCAGGAAGTGAGTTGATCTAACAAACAAAGCAATAGCCCAGTGGTCCTTTTCAGATTTGCATGTTGGAGGGTGTGTACTTTACTATAAACACACTTGTTGGAACATCAATGAAGCTTGTTTGGCAGCTTCCCCAGGTTATCTCAGGTTATGCCTGATTATGGAAAACAACATTTCTGACTCTTGTCTCTGCTTTTGTTAAGACTTTGCTCCCAGCAATGTTACATCACCAAATAATGACCCAAGCAGAAGCTACACGACTAATCCCTTATAAATCAGATTAAATCTTTATTTTATGACTTGTTTCAGTTAGAATGTTGCATCTTCATGTCTCTACATGTTGCATCGGATCTTCTCTCCCTGTGAAAGGTAAATTCCAGTTAAACAGTGCCCTTTATTACTATCATTACAGTGACAATGCAATCTTCTGTGTACATTTCAACACTTTCCCTTCAAATCCACAGTGAGGATGATATTACACACCAGAGTTCCTCAATCCACAAATATTAAGAACAGCCATAAAACTAAACAACATGTGGTTTAAGCTTATTTTAACTTTAATGTTGCTAAATGATGGCCTTGTGTTTGCATGGACGTTGTAACAGAAGTGGGATCAGTTTAGGAAAAGTCATGGTTAGCACCTCAGCTCATTATTCCAGACATCACACAAATGTAGATCTGAAGTATTTCCGTTTGGCTTTTTTGGTTTCTATTTTGTTAAAGCACACACAAATGCACTCAGTTACATGGCTGTTTGAACAAATATGTTAAATTATAAAAATGTAATAGAAAATAACTGCTTGCATGTTGGCATGTGCCAAACAAGCATTCATTCTGTAACCCTGAATATGAAGTGGAAATTATCGTATTAGTCACAATAATGTTTGCTCACATAAGTACAGATTGTAAAACTGTATTCATGTGCCTAATGTCAAACTAGCAGATTAAAAGCTAATAAAAAAATTAACTTTCACCTTTAAATGTAAATGTTCTGACAAAGTATATTTTTCTGCTGAGATATGGCAAAAATGTAATAAATAGGCACTAAAAGGAAAGTTTTCATATTTATTTAAAATTTAGAATACACTCAAAGCGCCCCTTTATTTTAGACTTTATAAAGGAAGTTTTATTTGACTTATTTTATGTACAGCAGTGGAGTTTTATAATAAATATTTAAAGGGCGGGTCAAGCCTGCCTCAGAGTCCTTCACTCATATCAGTGTTGAAAACTGCAACATTAGTAGGCGTTGCCTGGCGGACTGAGAGGGCGGAGCCGGATGGGTAACGAGTCGAAGCTAGCTCCCTTCACTCTGAGCTGTCATTAGAAGTGGAGGGAGGACGTTTCTCCTCCTACTTACCCAGACAATCGAGAAGAAAGGGACCAAGTCTATTTGGAGGAGACAAGCGGACCTGAGCCTTATTGTTTTGAGCTCGTGAGTTGCCTGAAACCACCGGAGCCGACCCAACAGAACCAGCTCTGAATGGTAAGAGCCGTTAGCCATAGAATCAGATTAGCTGCAGGGTTTGGCTCCACGGCCTTAAAACTGTTATCAATCATGTTTTAGAGGTTTGTCTGCTTCAACTCACCTTATTTTAGCTGCTGAACAGCTAATCTGGCATGTTAAAGCAGGAAAACCACTGAAATGTGCTGGATAGCAGCTTTCTAGCTGGAACCCTGGGCTAAAGTTACTGTCTGCTGTAGAGTTATAAAATACCCCATGAGAAAAATCTGTAATGTGTTCATTTATGTTACACAATCAAACATCCACCTAAAATTGCCCTGATTTCATTATTTACTGATACCAGCTTTCTCTTGGTCGTAGGTGATCCTCAAGTGTCTACAGCTGTTTTCTTCCGGTGGTGTCGTCAGGATCAGGAGCTTCCAGAAGAATGTGCCTTTGAATGATTCCTTCCCCCTCTAAAGTTATTTGTTATATTTAAATAAATCTCAATTTATATATTTCCTGTTTTTGTTCATGTCCATAAATATTTAAACACACCTGAGTTTAAAACGAGCTTTTAACAGTGAAGTGCTAGTTTCATTCATCACAATAGTGCTAGTTAAATGTGCAACAAAGTGATAATTCAATAAATATAATTTATAAATATCCATTAAAATATAAAAACTGGAATTAAAACGAGACATTTTGGCAGCACAAAAAACTTGTCAAACACAATATTTATTATAATAATTGTGGGCAGGCAGGAGACAGAGCTGATGGAGGTTCTCAGGCATCGAAGGATGGCTGAAGGCTTTCCAGGAACAGGAGATGTGGTGTTGTCTCTTCTCTCTCTATTCTGCCAGATGTGCTGATAGGTTACAGGTGTGTGAGGACGTCCTCATGCTGTCGTAACCAGATGACAGGAGTTATCAGGTGATCAGCCAGGCTAATGAGATGCAGAAAGAAAACAAATCCAAAACAGTGTACAATAATCTGTGGTGTTGCTCACCTCGTGCTCTTATAGAATATTAACGCGTGCCTGCCTCATGGTGTAGCGTCCATATTTTGCTGAGTGTCCTACAATAATGCAGATTACTAGTTAATTTACTTTTGATAGCTTAAAAACAAAATATTTTATTTAAAAGTTATTTACCAGGTGAATCAGCTCACACGTCACCACCAAGTGTCACAGGACCAGAATCAGTCGCCTCCTTCATGATGTCATGATGTAATCTAGCTCCAAGCTCACAGCAGCAACACACGTGTAGCAATAAGCTATGAAACAAAAACATAGATGATGTAAAAACTCAAAGGCTGTAATGAAGATTACATGATTAAAAACAACTCATCTTTACTACACCTGCAATGTTAGTCTGGGCCATTTATAGCTGCAACAATCAGTCTGACAGCAGAGTTCTTGGGATCATTTAGCCTGAAAAAAAATAACATCACAGTGTTATGGGAGGTCGCTTTCAGAGATGATGAGAAACATGTGGAAAGCAGAGCAAGGATGGAGCTACAAATTTTTCTGTTAGATCAGGAGGTCCTGAGGTAAAACGGGATGTTAGTGTGAGTCTGGGAAGATGCTCCTCTCCAGTGGTGACCAGTCAGGCTGAAGTGTAAGGAAATAAACAGAATACAGAGTACAATATTATTATTTAGAATGTTTTTACCTGGATCAGTTCATAGAGCTTGTCCTGCCATTCAAATGGAAGCTGCTCAGAAGCTCTCCACCACACCTGGATCTGTTCAGGAGTGTAGAAGCTGCTCTAGGTGGAATTCCCATCATGGGCCCATGTCAGACACACAGCTGCTGGGAGGCTATGTGAAATATAAAGAAACAGCAAATATATTTATAGTTGGTTTTAAGAGCAGTAACACACGTGTGTGTAACAAGCTAAAATAATTATATGTTGTTAAAACTAGAAGGTAAAGAAAGACAGATGGTTAAAAATAACTCACCTGCAAGGCTTGTAGTCTGGGCCAGTGCAGGCTGGTGGAGGACTACATCAGTCTGACATAAGATTTATTGGGCAGATTTAGCTTGAAAATTATAATAACATCAAGTTGTTGTGGGAGTTGACTAACTTAGATCATGTACAAAACAAACTGTGTAATATATGTGCTTTATAACATGGCTGGTGAGTGATCGGACTGCTCTCAGAGCTAACTCAGGGTCCAGAATCAGACATGTTCTAATGAGAACCAGACTCAGCACCAGTTCAGAACCGGGTCAGCTTTTTAGCAGAAGGAGGAGCTACTCTTCAGTGTACCTCCTGCTCTGCATCAGCACTGATATTACTAACTGGCACAAAAACTTAGCACGAACCAGTCTGACATTATAACACACACAACACTGGCTTCGAGCCTGCGGCAGCATGGACTGATTGTCTAAATTACGTGAACCACGTCCAAGTCTCTTTGTAATTATAAATATAGCTGCAAAATTACAGGTAGGGAACGATCTTTAGAAGCAGTTTAAAGTAAATATTTAGCTTACTCACCTGAAATTGGGCCCAAAATCTCCGTTTTGAGGAAGCAGCAGTCGGCGGGATCAGGCTAATTACTACGGCTTAGACTAATTTGTGAAATGCTCTTCAAACTCTATCCCGGTTCAAACTACAGCACAACTCACTTGCGGCTAAGCCGAGCCTCGACTGCTACAAGGCTGAACAACACTATTAGACACTCATTTATACTAGTTATCAGCTTAAAAAAAGGTTGATTTTGATGTGACTTGCTCTTTAAAATTGTAAAATAATCCAACTGAAATTTTATTATTTTATTATAATTTACTTGAGTTAATTTTTCATGCAACATTTTAGACAATTTAAGGCATTCAAACACGTTTGCGAATTTAAATTTATAAAATAAAATTATGTTTGGGAAAAGGAAAGAAAAAATCACAACTACTTTTAAATCCCGTGTATTTTATTTTATTTTATTTTATTTTATTTTATTTTATTTTATTTTATTTTATTTTATTTTTATTTTTATTTTATTTTATTTTATTTTCCTAATTGTGAATGAGCTGCTTGGGTTTCCTGTGCACATGCGCGCTGTTGTAAAAAAAAATCATGTGATTGCGCGTACCCGCGGAGACAGTGGGAGGGGCCAGCGCGGTCCTTCTTGAGGCAACATTGTCTCCGGTAAAGAAGCACTTATCCAGCGTGGCACTATTTTTCCCAGAAGAAGTTAAGTTTTTTTGTTTTGGAGCGTTTGATCTCACATTTGGGACAGCAGTCAAACAGCACTAGCTCTTATGTAAACCACTTGTGGATCTACGGATTAACATCTTTTAATAATCGCGGGATTGTGTTTCATTTCTCGACGCGCCCGGATACGGCTTGACACAGATAGAGGCTCAACCCGAGTCCAATCGTCCATGGACACAGGAATTGTACCCGAAAAGAAAAGGTAACGTCACAGTTTTGTTTTTTGACATGTTGTTTTAAAACTAGCTAGACAACTTAAGCGTTTATTTTATATTAAATAACTATAACTCCACTGACATTACGGCCTTAATTTCAAGGTTAACTGCTAGTTTGCTGTGTTCGTTTGCATGCTAGTGCTGCTAGCATCGTTAGCTAGCACCTAATACATTTCAGTAACCAGCAGTAGCCAGTTTGAGCTAGCTTTATTAACTTAACTGCTTTTATTTTATCTAATTTGTTTTGATCACAACAGCTGATGCTTACTAAGATTTTGTGTGGTTGGGACTGAGATTTCCTCGATGCCACATGGTCGTTATTTACCTTTGTTTTGTCTTTGGCACATTATTAAATAATACATTACAGGGGAGGTTTTGTTTTAATCTGATAGTGTTGAATTAAAAGTTGCTGGCACCTATGTGAGCGGTCTGAAAATAATATTGGATTTTGAGTAAAAATATTAAGTGATCCAATGTTTTAGCAGAAATAATTTTGGTGTAACGTCACAGTAATTATAAGCTTCATTGTCAGCACTTGTGTTGAAAAGCACTTACCGGTAACTAAATTCACTAGGGAGATGAGCTCTGCTCATCAGGAAAATGTTTCCACATTTTATTAGTTGCTGCTAACTCTAACAGTGCTCTAGGCCAGGATGTTGACCTCAGATGATTAGTGAAGCTAGTTACCAAAAATAAATGTTTTAATTAATCCTCACAACAAATACTTCCAGGCAATGTGCAGTTGGTTTTGCTCAACCGTTTGATTGAGAGTTGAAGCTTATAAAGTCAAATGCCCCTGGATTGTTGAAATACTGATTGCTTTAATTTTAAAGACTGTAAGGCAAAACAGATTTAAGATTTCATCCCAAGTCCCAAATTTTGGGTAACGTTAAAGCTAATTTTTAATGTATAATGACCACTCTGGTTATATCAATACTTTCTATTGTTAGGTTTTCTGATCTGGTGTTTCACTCATACACTCCTTTTGTAATGTTCATTTGGTTAATCAAATGATTTGGTCTTTTTACTGGAAAACAATAGCCAGACATCTTGACAAAGAGTATTCTAGTGTTAAATCAAACAGACTTTGTCCATGGAAAAATCATTTAAAAATGTTGTCATGTTTAAAATAATGTGTCGTAATTGATGTGTAAATCACTTTACAAGAATAGCTCCAACAGTTGCTCCAAATGTATCACTAATTTAGGCTTTTTTAAATGAGATGCATTAAACTTTGTGCACTGAGACACACAAAGCTCATATTATACCAAATATTAGTTATTGTTCCTGTTTAAGGGCACAATTTATGCACATTGGGAAGAGGATGGCTGTATTGTTAGTGCCATGACAAAACATAGAAATGATCTACTTAAACAAGTGATATGGGTGATAGATTATTAGAAATTCACTCATTCTGGTTTAAGGTCAGTAATGATTATTGATTATTGGGCAGCTTTTACCTGACACTACCATTTTGGTCCCATTTCATTTTATCTCAAACTGCAATTAATAAAAAAAATCAAATTTACTTGAAATTTGTGGTTTTGAAAGTGAAAACATTAATGTTATGAATCAGTTATTTCTAGTGTGAGCTGGCTCTGAGTGATGTTGTATTCAGAAACTAGAAAAGATCATATATAATTGATGGTTATGATGATTTTTGGAAAATTTACCTGCCATGTTTTAGGTTTTATTTATTTTTTATTTTTGTTTTGCTGCATCCCAAAACAGCCTTGTTGTCTTTTTAAATGAAATTCTATTTTCACTGAGTGGCAGTTTATTGTGAAATCTCTGTACAAACATAAATGGCTCTACAAATGAAGTGGTTGTTTTATGAGCTGGCAATGGGACAAAAGCCTTCGAAGCAGAAGACTTCGATCTAAAACCTGTTCCAGTCTCTTGACCCGCGTTCCCTTTCTTTTCTGATCATGTTGTTTCCTCAGCGATGTTTTGTCAACTGTATCCAACTTCCCTCTGGGACTTCACCCTTTTGTGTGCTTCTTTTGAAACCTAGCACTTTAGATGTGTTTGGCAAAGGGTCACTATTGTCTTTGATTGCAATAAATATGACTTCAGGTTAATTCTGTGTTGCAGGCTGGTTTAAGTCTCCTGCCTCGTCCCTTAATCACAAGGGGCTTGACGTCAATAACTTAGGAGCCAAATGCTGCAGCGACTCACTGGTTGTGTATTAGCAGGTTGCTCTGAGGCATTTGAGTCGCAGGTCAGTTGGAACTTGAAAAAGAATCGAGGCACTTGCCTAAACAAACCACGGATGTGTTTTGGTTTGTGGTTGATAACGAAAATGTGTGCCAACAACCTACTTCCACTCGGCACGTGAATCACTGCTAAATGCTTTAGTATTTATAAATTTATATTTAAATATGTATTAAATTTTATTTAAAAATATAACATCACACATTTTACTAAATAGAAAACACAGTAGTGATGTTTAGAAAAAGGCAAGTATTTGTTAGATTTAATTGGTAAACAAGAACAAGGACATAATGATTAGAGAACTTCTGCCAGTTTCCCAGACGCCAAAATCACAAACATCTGGAAACTTTTTCTTCCCCTTGATGGATAAATTTAGCACAGTATTTAGGAGTTTACCATGTCAGACAATCCAAGGAAGGATGTATGACCTTTTTTATCTCTGTACATATTAAACTATCCTTCCTTGCATTAATAAGCAGTTTGAGTCTGATAAATAAAAACGTACACATTCAGCCTTATATCCTTTCTGTCTTTTGCGCCCATTGTATAAAATCATATATTAGCCAGTCTGTCAGATTGAGTTTACTTATTAAGACATTTATTTTTTGTGAAATTGTTCTAAACCGACAGAATCGCACCAGGTAAATTCCAGCCAAGTGTTAAACAATTCATAATGTGGCTCATTTTAAGAGTAGGGATGGACCGATGTGAACATTTGGGCAGAAATCAAAATCACTGTCACACGCCCAAACAAATACCACTTGGCTAACCCACTGCCTTTCCCCTCCACATATATAAACGCATACATAAACATTGGTTATTATTCGGGATGCTCAATGCCGATATAAACCAAAGCATGCAGGGTCCTCCTTAATAAAAATAAATAAATCACTTAGGTTGCGAACATCACATATCTCCTATCATGCATTCATTTGCTTTAAACATTATCTGTGCAAAATTGCAACAACTTAGTGATAGAAATGTTTAATTTATGGGATGCCGTTAGATAATTATTAAGTTCGTTATGAGAAAATGTTTGATTAATGAGTTAATACAAAGTACAAGTGAATTGATGATAAAAAAGGTTAAAATGTTTTAGGCTTTGAAAACTGATCAAAGTGAATCATCGTTTTTATAATCTTTGTTGTATTGTCTGTGCGAAATGTGACAGAGTGAGCGCTCCTAACTCAGACCTCTCACTGACATAGTTTTCCTTTCCTCTGCTCCCAGTGAGCTTACATGTTACGTTTAGGCAGAAACGGCAAAATAAATAAATAAAATAAACGTATCAATGATTTTGCTTTATACATTCGTACCTTGGAGAGTAGGGATGCACAATATATCGGCATCGATATCTGTATCGGCCGATGTCATTTTTTAACATATCAATATCGGTCCGATAAATAAAAGTGGGCCGATATTAACAACCGATATCTTGTTTCCATTTATCTGCTACAGAGGGTGAGGGGGTGATGTGTATTTGTTCAGTCATGTGACAGTGGTTGTAATCATCTCAGAAGCGTAAATGTGTGTGGTGTGTACATAATAATGTAAATTCAGCTTTAATAATTTTCAGTCTATACAAAATCTGCTGATTGTAGAAGCATTAATGTCAGTATATTGGTATCGGCAAATATCGGTTATCGGCCATAACAGTGATATTAATATCTGATATCTGTATCAGCCCAAAATTTTCATACCGGTGCATCACTGTTGGAGAGCATTGCGTGACGCTAAGATGTGTGTTTGTCCGTAATGTATTTTTTTCTGTTTCTGTGTATTAAGTAGTAGTAGTAGTAGTTAAGTTGATAATACATTTAAAAAGATCTTCATTTAAGAAAGGCTAACCTGGGGTGACTATTCTTGTGCTGGTTTTAGAAGTTGCTAGTTGGCTACTACCTACCAAAAGCTACGCGCTCTAAGGACATCATAACCTTATTACACAGGGCAAATTCCTAATTATTCACTAGTTGTGCTAAATAAAACTAAAATATCTCAAACGAAACCTCAGTTCTGTCATATTTTGGCATTTTGAGTGAGGAGATGAAGCCGAAGCGTTTGATGTGTAACATGTGCATTGTATGTAAAAGTTGGATCACTAAAGGAGTAAAAACGATACCAATATTTTCAGATATTACATTTTAAGGCCAATATCAGCCGGTAATATCAGACATCCCTAGTTATTATCTACCCAGTCTAACCTATTTGACTGATTCTGAAATGTAAAAAGTGACAAATCGTGCAACCCCAACATTAAGTGTGATTTTTGGGAGCTTTCTGTGTTCCATCAACTGCTATTAGTGAAGAAGGGATATCGTTCATTAATAGGGGGTGTATTTAGATTAAGGATGTAATTAATACAAGAATTAGTAATGGGTTGGCTCTCAACATTAGAATCAGCTCTGAATTTTTAACTTTTTGGTCTGCTGGAAAATTTGAGTCTGTACTACACACAAATGCATAAGATGGTGAAAACTAGGCAAATTGAAGGGATAGACAATTTAACTAAATATATCAAATGCAAATAATTGTGCAGTCAAACACCGTTCATGCCATGGTCACTTGGAAGTTATTTAGTGGCATTTACCAAGAAGGAAAACTCAAAATCCTTTAACTGTAGCTTTATTGTTTGAGTGTTTTCAAATTTAAATCCACTTCACATAATATTTAGCCAAAATATTTTAGAAAACTTAAAAACATCTAATTCATATAGCAGAGCTTTCATTAGTTTAGAAGGAGCTTATACAGTATCTCCTGGTTTTTGAGTGTAATGTTCTTCTCCAAGTTGGGTTATATAATAAGGCCGTGTTTATGGTCACATGAAACAGCCCTCCCTGTGTAAAATGGGTCAGCTCCCAGTAACTAAAGACACAGGCTACTCTGTTAGCTCTGGTCAAGGTGAGCGGTTTATGTTTTTTTTTCCTTTTTAATAACCCAAAGTCAGTTATTTATATTTTTAACCCTCATTAATAATAAATAATACACTGAAGCAAACAGAGTTTTAAACTAAAAGCCGTGTGGCAGAGAACTGCTGTGCGTGCACGACTCTGTGGATTATCAGTTGTGTAACAGTGGCCCCAACAGATCTGGTTCATTCCCCATCCTACATCAAACTAAACACCACTGTGCCAATAATAAAAAGATGTGTGTTCTACATTTGTGTTGGAACATACGTTTTAAATCTATGGATTATCTCTTTAGACCAGCATTTACAATCCAAAGAGTCCACCTAAAGAAATGTTTAGAACTGCAGCTGTTACAATTTATGGAGAAAGGATTAGGGACACTGAAAAGAACATTTTATTTTCTTAGAATGAAGGGTTAGCATCAATCTTTTTTTTTTTCTCTCTCCCATAAATACTGTGTATATACTACATGAGATTTATTGTAAATTTTTATTTTCTTAAAGTTAAGAAAAATAATAAAACCTTTACAATGTGGATATTCTTTATTTAATTGGTTTATGGGAATTTTTGGGTGAAAAACTGAAATCTTAACATTTTACTGGTACATTTTGTCATGAAAAATTGTTTAAACCTGCAAATTGATAATTTAATATAGATATAAACATGAGTTAGTTGTTTTATTGTTTTAGCCTCTGTTATTAGCAGCCATTGTGGAAGGTACTAAGGGCTTCAGACCCCTACTTTAGACAATCTGCTGTTTAGTATGAATACATTCACCACCTGTGTGTGTGTGTGTGTGGGGGGGGGGGGGGGGGGGGGGCTTTGTCTTCCACATGAACCTTGTCTCCATTACATGAAGTTGTATTTTAGTCAGATGTTACAGGACTCCCATAAAGGGACTGAACAGCCACTACTATTTTACAGACGAGTATTTATCAGTCATTATTGTGAGTGCGAGGTTCACAACGGTGTGGCGAATAAAACTGGACTCGTCACTTTGCAGAAATGGTTTTCCCGTGTGTCTCATGGATGGGATGCTAATAATTTTTTGGGATGAGTTGGAATATAATTCCCTCCGAATGTGAACGCTGACTTTGAAGGAAGAAAGTATTTACGTTGGCATAACTTTGTAGCTTCCCAATTGTAAATGGAACTTAATAGCAGCAACACTGAGTGTTTTTCTGTTTGTGTGTTCATGTCACCGAATAGAAATTTTGACCCACATGCTTTTCGCTAGATTAAATCAGCACCTAGCCTATTTCCCGAGGGACGGTGATTCGGCTCAGCATTGAAAATCTTCCAGCCGCAGAGGACCAATTAGCTTTATCGTGGATCGGTTTGTGCATCACGTGTGTGTAATGGAAAGCTTTCGTGTGAAACACAGCCTGCCTGTTAACTAAAATTAGCCTCCTGCAAATTACATTATCTGGTCTATTTTCTGGCAAAAACAAAAGGGCCTTATTCAGTGCTGTAAGTGCGTGCCAGATCAATTTCAATCAGGTGTGCATTTCATAGCTGTGGGTTTTTAAGCTGTTCATTTGGTCGTCTGGCTGCTCACATGTCATCTAAATGTATTTCAACTTACTGAGGTGCAGTTTGCAACAAAGATTGGTGATACAAATTTATGGCATATGAATGGGAGATGAAATCTGTTTTTTGAGGCATCGCGGTTTTTCTAAATCGATTTTGTTTATGTTTATTTACCGCAATGTTGAGCAACATAAGGTGGAACAGGAAGTACAGCACAGACTTTAAAAAAAAAATTTTATAAGCACATAATGGAGGCACAATTTGCAGTGGCGTGTCCAGGCCTTTTAAAATGGGTGGTTCCAGTGGGGCACTAATTTATGCATGGGTGGCACCTATAGTTATACTTTTTGTTTTGATCTGCGGGGTTGTCACCCCTCACAAAATAATACATTTTTGCATTATTCTTCAACTTCTTGTTTTGAGGTGGTTAGCAAGCCACTTCTTGGTGCATTACCGCCATCTACTGGAGTGAGTTTGGACCAGGACTATGAATACTATTTTTGTCAATATGAAAACAATAATTAATAATACACAAATGTTCTGTAGGCCTGTGACTAGAAACTAATGTTAAAAGTCCATACTGTCGACTACTGTTTTAGGGGTTAACCCTTAGCTTTTTGTGGACAACTTAATGTCAATTTAAGTGGAACTCATTGGGGTGGCCAGTCAGATTCCAAGAGTGGCAAATGCTGCTCCAGACCACTCCCTGGACACGCCATTGACAATGAGCAATAAAAAGAGTGAACAAGTGAACATTTTAAACATGGCCGCCGAGCGAGACCAGTGTTGTGTCAAAAGGCCTTCCTTCTCCAAATATCGTCTGTTTTTCTTTTGTTTTTGATTCTGAATCAAGACAACAGCAAACATCATTCAAAATAATATTAAACCCACAACCATTTTTTGAATGAAAGCGGCCATTTGATGCACCCCTTCTTGTTCTTACCTTGAATCTAACAATTTTGTCTCATTAAGTTTTTATAGTGTAGTGATTTCAGTCACTTGAAGAATCAATAGCCCTGCTTTGATTCAGCGGTGGTCACGTTAGCCGAAATGGCACTGTAAAATGTCTGAATCAGTGTGTGGGATGGGGGTGGGGGGATGGCTGAGCTCTGACTCTTTCCTGTGTAGTCATTTGAGTGGGCGAGTCCTATTTCGTTTGTTCAGCAGCCAATAGGACGCTTGCATTGCACTGGCTGGGCTGAGACAGCCTGTTGAATGCTCCAGCTGCGCTGGCCTCTGCAGACATGTTTCAGTTTTGGGAAAAGGGATTTTTACGTTTAACAAACCCAGCATGAGGCTGATCCACCTCCTGTCTCCTGCAGGGTGAGCTCGGAGCGCAGGAAGGAGAAATCAAGGGATGCAGCAAGATGCCGCCGTGGGAAGGAGTCGGAGGTGTTCTATGAGCTGGCCAAGCAGCTGCCTCTCCCCCACAGCACCAGCTCAAGCCTGGACAAGGCCTCCATCATGAGGCTGACCATCAGCTACCTGCGCATGAGGAACCTTCTCTGCAGTGGTCAGCATCTGTAGCGACAGATGATTATAAACCATTCCACTGCTCTGTTAACCATGTACCTGCAGTATGCTTGTCATATTTGTTATCTTGTTGACTTCAGAGTAATTCACTTCATTTACATGTAGCCTATAGTGGAAAACACAAAGGAGGTACTGCGTATCCTGCCATAATCTCTCTGCAGAAACACCTGGGGCTAGAGGAGTGGTTTTTCTGTGTCTGCAGCTGTTTGAACCGGTTATTTGTCCTTTAGCTTATCACCCACCTTGCTCCCTCTCTCAATGCTCCAGATAAGCCAATGGAAGAGGGGGAAACTGAGCTTGATGTTCAGCTGAACGGGTCCTACCTGAAGGCGTTGGAGGGCTTCCTCATGGTGCTGTCTGAAGACGGCGATATGATTTATCTCTCGGAGAATGTCAGCAAGTGTCTTGGGCTGGCGCAGGTGGGTCTGAAGCAGGGAATTAAAAAATAAGTGCACATTTTTAAGCTTTAAATGAATACTTCTTGGTAGCTCTATTTATATATTTGTGTTTTAAAAAGTATATTTCTGTTTGTTTGCCTTTGCAGTTTGACCTGACTGGCCACAGTGTGTTTGACTTCACACATCCCTGCGACCAGGAGGAGCTGAGAGAGATGCTCCTCTGCAGAACAGGTGAGCAGTGTTGCACTGAAGAGTACAAATGTGTAGAGAAACCGAGACGCGCACACACAGAGCTCTCTGTCGGGTGTGTTGGTGCTCCAGATGGTAGAAAGTCCAACTCACTCTGTGGTCAGCTCTGCTTAGTAACGACACAAAAATCCACTCCGGTTTTGAGCAGTGGCTGAGTAATCTTCCGACCTTTTAATCATCAATAACAGATCTTTGCTTTGCTTCTCGTTAGTGAGATAAGTTTTGCTGAATCTTCTCTCTGCTTCGGTTCACTCTTACATTTAGGACCTGTGTTTTTTGTTATTTCTTTGCTCACTGATACCGCCTCGGCTCTAACTGCTGGTAGCTATTTCCATTTTATCCTCTAGCTCACCACAAGGCCACAGCATCAGAGCAAATGTCTCCTTTTGATGCAAATTTTATCAGTTGGCAGTTTGTAGATTGTTGAGTTGGGACCAATAAAAAAGAGCAATCTACTGCTGGCTTACTCTGCCTCACTCTGGATTCATATCTGTTTAATTTTGTGATTCCAGGCTCCAAAAAAAGCAAGGAACCAAATAATGAACGGAATTTCTTTCTGAGGATGAAATGCACCCTCACAAGCAGAGGTCGCACGGTTAATGTCAAGTCGGCTACATGGAAGGTAAAGAAGTGTTGAAGCTGTGGAGCATCTCGGGCTCCTAAATTAAAAAAGTTACTTAAAGTAAAAAATAATAATTACAGAAAGATTAAAGTTTCCCTCTTGGTTTGAAAACCTGTTTCTGTAGGTCCTTCACTGCTCGGGTCACATGTGTGTTCATGACCATCGAGCAGAGCAGATGGAGCCGCTGCTCCCCTACCTGGTTCTGATCTGTGACCCCATCCCCCACCCTTCCAACATCGAGGTCCCTCTGGACACCAAGACGTTCCTCAGCCGCCACACCATGGACATGAAGTTCACATATTGTGATGAGAGGTGAGAGAATCTGGAGTCCCACGGGGACACCTAGTGCTCAGTGTGGGTACTACAACATTGTTTCTGTTCCCAGGATCACTGAGCTGATGGGATACGATCCAGAAGACCTGCTGAATCGTTCTGTGTACGAGTACTATCACGCTCTGGACTCTGACCACCTCACAAAGACTCACCACCACTGTAAGCTCAAAGAGCATGGATCTAGAGTAAAATTGGAAAACGTCACTGTTTATTTGGTGACTTTTGACCGTGTTTTCTGCTGTTTGCAGTGTTTGCGAAGGGCCAGGTCACCACAGGTCAGTACCGGATGTTGGCCAAAAGAGGAGGCTTTGTCTGGGTGGAAACGCAGGCCACCGTTATCTACAACAACAAGAACTCGCAGCCACAGTGTGTCGTCTGTGTCAACTTTGTCCTCAGGTACTTGCACTAGTATCGTCATGTCATGTGGAGATATCGGATCAGAAAGTAGCATACTGACATCTTGTGGTTGTCCAACAGTGGGATCCAAGAGGACAAACTAATCCTGTCTTTGGGGCAGACTGAGGACATGAAGCCAGTGAAGGAGGAAGAGCAGGAGGAAGAGGAGCTCGTAGTTGAGACCACGCAGCTTATCCCGGTGAAGGCAGAGAAGACTCCAGAGCTCGATGTGATCAAGCTGTTCACAGAGATTGTAGAGCCCAGGTCGGTGGGCAGCCTGTATGAAAAGCTAAAGGATAACTCTGAGGCCCTCACCCTGCTGGCTCCAGCAGCTGGAGACACCTTCATCTCCCTGGACTTTAGCAGTCCTGGTTCGTGGGTTCTTCGCTTTGCATGTGTTTATACGTCTGCACATGAAACTGATCAGTTTTCCTGTTCAGGTAAAGAATCCGATACCGACCTGTTGGAGGTTCCTCTGTACAACGACGTGATGCTGCCCTCCACGAGCGACAAGCTGACTCTGCCTCTGTCGCCCAGCGAGTCTTTTGCTGTCCCCAACACGTCCTCTGAGGAGACAAAGTCCAAAGACTTTGCTCCGACCCCGTCCACAACACCCCCCCTCGGGCCTTCAGAGGTAAAGATGGATCATTTTGTGCCTTTTAACACTTTTCTTGACAGGAATGAACATTTTAATTGTTTTCTCTTCAGGCAGGCGGGTCTTTTGGCCTTCCTTTCTCCGTGGGTTCAGACTTGAACTCAGATTTCAAACTGGACCTGGTGGAGAAGCTTTTAGACCCAGAGTCTAAAACCCTGTTTAACACACAGGTGAGATTCTGCATTTCTTATTGGTTCTGCTGGGAACAATTCCATTCCCGCTCCACATCCGTGAACGGGCTGAAGGAGGAATGATGACGCTGATTCCTTCCCTTTCAGCCAATGGAGGACTTTGATCTGGAGATGTTGGCGCCCTACATTCCCATGGACGACGACTTCCAGTTGAACTGCCTCATCCCAGAGGAGCCTCTAACCTGTAGACCAGTCAAACCAGTTGAGAACCCCCCAGTTCCCGTGACAAAGGAAAACCACAGCTACTCCAGCTCCATGTTCAGCTGCAACACAGCACCCCCAACACCACCTGTCAGCACATCCCCTCTAGCCACCATCATTGTGAATAGGTAACGTCCTTAAAATACGTGATTTACGTTTTGCTTGTTTGACATCAAGTACCAGGGTAGCTACATGAATCCTGCTGTTGTGTTGCAGCGCTCCAAAGTCGGAGAAGGCTGTGTCCGTCAGGAATTTGGAAGCTCAGAACACTCAGCGTAAAAGAAAACTGAGCGAGCTCAAAGAGCTTATTGAACTGGTTTGTCTGGAACACCGATAACATCAGTTTGTGGAGCTTGTAGATATGAGAGTTTAATCACATGTAATGTTTTTTAGGGAACTTTGCCTTCAGAACAACTGGAAAAGTTCAAAAAACAGAAGGCAACGGATCTGGGAGGGGCTCAGGCCGTGCTGAAGGTGACGGATCAGGGAGGGGCTCAGGCCGTACTTCTGCTGCCTTCAGGTGGAAAAATAACGAAACCTTTTATTTTTCTGGCATTGCTTCACATTATATAGTCCTAACTGCTTTGGTGTTTTTGTTTCAGATTTGGCGTGCCGGCTGCTTGGCACCACATCAGAGGGCACCGGTTCTCTCTTCACCTTGCCACAGCTCACGAGGGACGACTGCGAGGTGAACGCACCCCTACAGGGTCGTCAGTACCTGCTACAGGGGGAGGAGCTGCTGCGTGCTCTGGACCATGTCATCTGAGCCACAGCTGGTCTAGACTGGACACTACAGCTAGTCTCTCCCTCTCCCAGAACCCCTGCTCCGCCTACCTAACCCCACTGCCACTTATTTATGTATCTATTTGAGTTTGGCTGCCGTTTGTGCACATTTTGTGATATTTGCAGCATTCCACAGTGACAAACATAGCAGCATCTTCATTTGGTGGAAGGGATTCAGCCATCCTAAGTTTGAGTTCTTCTATTTTTACTTTTCCCTCCCTCTCCTCTGGGGAGTCTCAGCACATGGCACCTTGACAGGTGACGTCTCTCCAGCAGGTCACCAGACGCCGGCGCTGCTGCCAGCGGTGTATTGTAAGCTTCAGTCGCACAACTTCTATTTTCTTAAAAAGAAAAAAATATTACCAGCAATATATAAAAATATATATGAAGCCTTTTAAAAAGTAGATTTGATGGAAAATGAACAATTTTTTTATTTTTTCCCCCCTCCCATACTTGTATGTTGTAGTACTCGTACCTAACAAGATGTCTTTAGTCCAGACGTGTTTAAACCATAAGTGGTTTGAATGTTCTCCATTTGATTGGTCTGAGATAAATACGTTTAATTGTGTAGCAGTCCAGTACATGTCTTTATTCTTTTACTGTAAGTGTGTGTTACTGTACTTAAACCAGGGACATTGAACTCTTTAATGCAGGATGTGGAGATTTCTCTTTGCTTTCAGCTTCTACGCTGTGTGACATCCTCAAAGCAGTTTTTAAAACATCAGATCTTATTTCATGGCTGCATTTTGGGACATTTACTCAATGGTAGTCTGTTTAGTACCATCTCTCCTTGCCATAGTGTTGAGTCTCTCTTTGTGCTGTTTAACAATAAATAGCTTTAATAAAGTGCACCAATTTGTATTTTTATTACTAGTTTTACAGTTAATGCATTTTTGTGGCTAAACAAAGATTAAAAAATTACAATGTTTGCAACAATCACAGCAGAGAACACGGATGAACCGTCGCAAAAAGAAATCTGTTTGAACCCAGTCGTGTTTCACAGTTTTCCTGTTGAAGCGGCTCTGTCGCAGCAGTGGTGGCGTTACTCGATGCCTTCAGGAGTCACTTGAAGCTGAATCAGGTTGTTTCCTCTCATAACCATCACAGCGATGTTGCTGTTGCTGCGAATGGCCTTGTAGATCTCCTCAGCGGAGAACACCTTGACCCCGTTTATCTCCACCACGATGTCTCCAGGAAGCATGCCGGCTCTGAAACGGTTTACTGCTGGTTACGTTACCTCGTAACAAAAGGATATAAACTGGGATTAACCTGAGCTGGCTACCTGCTGGCCGGTGAGCCGGTAATCACGCTGTGGATCAGGACTCCGTGGGTCACATTTGGAAATGACGGGTCTCTCGTTTTCAGCTGAGCAATGATGCTAAAATGAACAAAGCACAAATAAACCCATCAGATTTTAGGTAGCTCTTAAAATGCCTGCAGCAGGTCTGTTTAAGAGTTTTTCACCTCTGGGTCAATGTCAGCATCATAACGCCGATGTAGCGCGGCTTTGATCCCGATTCGCCAAACCAAGAAGCTTAAGAGACGAGGTGAGATGCTAAATAAATAAATATGCTTTTGGAAATCTAAAGAGTTTAAACATAAAAGTTTTTTTTTCTTACTTTTTCTTTTTGCTGCTTTTTCAAGAAAAACCTTCACATGATCAGACGGGATAGCAAATGAGATCCCTGCAGTCACCTTCATGGTGTTGATCCCAATCACCTCTCCATCCTGATTTAAAAAAAGGAGTATTAGTGAAATCTAAAGATGGTGCACGGATGTGTTCATCTGGTGGTCGTAGCTCATTCTAATTGTATTAGTTCACTTCAGGAAATGAAACAGAAGAGTTAACTCTGTTTTAGTCATTTCACAATAATCCAAACCAGGTAGAAGTGTTACAGCTCAACTGAGCAGGAACCTCAACTCACCAGATTAATCAAAGGACCTCCAGAATTTCCAAACTGCAAAGAAAACAAGTAATAATAAAAATACTTGAGTCATGGGAAATCTACATTCAGGAATATTGGTCCTAAAAAGGGTTAAACTATGTAAAATGAAGAAAAAGTACTCGCGTCGATTGTGGCGTCGGTCTGGATATACTCCATGTTGGAGTTGGAAAGGCCGAGCTCTTTGCTGCCCCTCTGAGCTGAGCTGACGATCCCGGATGTGATCGTGTTTCTCAGCGAGAACGGACTTCCCATGGCAACCACGAACTCTCCTTGTCGAACGTCCGATGACTGACCGAGTGTGAGCGTGGGTAACGGACTCTGCACATCAGGAGGGGGGAAACGAGGACTTTCAGGAGCTATTACACAAAAATAAATGAGGTAATTCTTGAGTTCTTCAACCAGATCACTGGTGCCTGCTCGGTAAATGGTGACAACACCTTTCATAATCCTTGTCTTTCATAATATTTGGATCACAGTCTTTTATTATGATATTTTTATTATTCGATTATGTAAAATTCAGCAAATCTGTATTTTCTCAATAACTAATTAGCAGAAACAACTTAAATACTGACAGAAAATATTAAGCAAAACTCAAATAATCACAAAAATATTAAGAAATGACTCATTAAAATAGAAAATGACAGAAGGGGGTGTGCGCCACACTTCTGCTAAATTTTAAGCATAATTTTAAACAGCCTAACTGTCCAAAAATAAATAATAATCTCCATCTGGCTCCATTAATGTGAATAAATCTTCATCCAGAGTCTGCAGCAGATCTAGACTGCTTCCCCCTGTTATATTCTAAGTGTTTGTTCACCTTTGGAGTGATTCTAATGGTAGCTATGTCTGCCTCAGGGTCCACATCCTGCACAGTAGCGTTATAAGAGTCTCCATTTGGGAGCTTCACACGGACCGCTCTCTTATTGGCCACAACATGAGCGTTAGTGACGATGAGGCCGTCGCTGCTGACGATGAAACCGGAACCATTCGAAACAGGAACTTCTCTTCCTGAAAACGGGTGTCTGTGAAACAAACGCAAGATTTAGCCTGAAGTTAAAAACATGTTTATTTTCATAATTTTTTTGGGTCATATTTATAATAATTGAAAATAAAAGAGAGTAAAAATCACCAAACATTAGAAATAAACAACTTTCAATTAGATTAAATACCACATTTCAGTTTCTCATCACAATGTCACGTTTAAACAGATAATATGTATCTACTATTAGCACTGTTAGAAATCTGACTTGTTCTTCTACAAAATAAATGCTTTAAAGGTTTTTACACCCCCATCCTGGTTTAAGTAGCAGAGTCACTTCAATTTAGATTATTTTACCAATAATGGCACAGTTCAAATCTAGGATTAAGGATTTTTCCCATGACTAAATGGACATGTGTTGCTAATGGACACTGCTGGTGATCATGCCAATGTATTGGCTTTAGTTTTCTCTTCTTTTTTATTAGATTTCTTTTATTTTGAAACCAATTAAGCTGCTGTCTTGGCCAAGACTTTATTGTAAAGGAGATTCTGAATCTCACTGAGATTACTCCTGCTAATCTAAATGTTAAACCAGTTAAATGAATATTCTTCATAAGCCACCAGATCTGAGTAAGGGTTTCAATTTTTAAATTAAAGCTTTTTTTCAAGCACTTTCAAGGAAAGTTTTCAAGCTTTTCCAGCATCTTAAAGCTGATGCTACTTTCACGTGCATAAACAATGTATGTACATGCTCATGATTACCGTTATTTTACTTCCTGGTCTGATAAGTTAGTTTCATGCACCTTTTAAGTACCTATTTAAACAAATTAAAGCACTTCCCAAACTTTGAAGATACCCAATTCCAATTTCAACATTTTTAAAAGTTTTCAAGCCCCCAGAAGAACTCACCTGCCCAGGATTTCTATGTAGACCACAGCTGGAGCGGACTTCTCCACCACATCCGCTATAAAGTTGTATCTGAATCTGGGGCTGTCGGGTTTAAAGGGAGAAGCGCACTGAGCCGAGGCAAGAATGAGTCCAACACAGCTCCCGGGTTTGAGAACTTTAGCGTCTCCGTGTTCGTCCTTATCCCTGTCCAGGAGGACCGCACCGCATATCGCCAAACCGACAGACTTCCAGATGGAAGGGTTCAGTCTCCGACCTCGTCCCTCGTCCCGAGCTGGAGCTCTCCTCTCGAGGCTCGTGTTCCCCCGCGACTCTCCGTTTTTACACATCACAGTAGAAAGCACCCGACTCTGCCCCGAAAGGTGAACTCCAGCCTGACTCCGAGCCTGTGTCCTCAATGCTGACAGAAAACATCTAGTGACAGCACTTGCTGCCATGTTGCATCACTCAGCCACACTGGTTCGCTAGTTTTCACACAGAAAACAACACTTTATATCCCAAAACCTGTAAAATAAAGCGTGTATCCCTTACTGGTGTAAACAACCACTTAGACTATATCGAATTTAAAAAATCTAACACAAATACTCTCTTTCAAAACTGCTTCTCTCAGCTTCGCGTCTAACAACAAGCTTATTCGGGAAAGTTATTTAAACTGCGCACGCGCGGTTGTCTTCTTCGCGTCCTATTTCTTCTTCTATGTTTTTTTTTTTTGCCTTTTTGTTTTACCGCCCTCTACATTCCCTCTTTGTCTCTACATGTACAGAGAAGAGTGGCTCGAAACAGGACTTATTTTTATAGATATACGCATTTTAACCTCCACTTTTTCAGTTGTTAATTTTTAGCTACACATTTTAACAGATCGAGACTTGCGAAGTTTTGTCTTTTGAAGAAGAACGCGAAGAAGCGTGCGTAGCGGACGTAAAACTGTACTGACGTTTTGTTTTGGGTGTACGTCAGAGAATTCCAGCCAAAGACAGCAGCGCAGAGAAATTCGAAAATAGCGCGCTAGGCTAGCGAGCTAGCTACTAGTCTGGAAACCGGATACATTAGGTCCCGTTTAATGTGTTAAACTATGGCGTCATTTAATTCATTACAACACACACATTCCTACTTCGAATCTCCCGCAAAGGTGTTTGCGAGGCTCAAATCTAAAGTGCAGATGGAGGCGATGAACGCGAAGCTGGACGATTTTACAGGCAACAATCCGCTGTTAAGCGTTAGAGAGAAACATGGGGCAGCTTTTCTCTCTCCCTGGAGGAAATCTACGAACACGGTCGACAAACACAAGGAAAACAAAACGGTTGATTCTCATTACAACGAAGCGCAGGCTTTGACTCTTTCGCCCATTTCGAGTCCCCAGAAGAAATGTGGGTACTCATCGTTGCGGGAAACATCTCCAATGACTGATTTGTGTGGATACAAACGAAAGCTGAGAGACGGGACTTTAATGGAGTCAACAGCTGTGTCTCAGCCTTTCTCTTCGGTCACCAGAGATCAGATCCACCAAAGGACACCTCAGATCTGGGAGTCACGTGTTTTGTCCAGCAGGAGTCCAGTGAAGAGACAGTCAGTAGAAAGCACGGGAAGGAGTGTGTCTGATAAGAGAGCAACCCCTCTTAGTCCTGTGTCTCAGGGGAGGATGTTTACCCCCATAAAGAACAGGCTGAGGAAGAAACTAGATCAACAGGAGTGTAATTGTGTCATCAGAACCACCGAGGAGCGCGTGGAAGATGCGAGAGGAATGAGAAGGTCGTTGTCCACAGAGGATCACACTCACAACAACTCTAGCATACTGGCTGGAGGACTTCCTGCTGATCAGTCAGAGATGCTCCAACAACCCAAGACAAGCTCAGTCGTAAACAAACGTGAGTTGTGTCTGTTTTTTCTGCATTTTGTCCCATTAAGAGAAAAACAGTTTTAAGGGCTTTTCTTTGTTGTTTTTGTCAACAGGCTGCACTGTTGTGTTGGAAAGATTACCCACAGCCTCCCCTGCCAAGATGTTTGCCTACATGAAGGAGAGGGAGAGCAAAGGGGGAAAGACAAATGTTCACAACAGCAGAAGAGCGCTGACTGGTGGGGATGAGCGCAAAGCATCGTGTGGTTTTGCTGCACAGCAAGATTGTGCTAAAGTTAATGACTTTTTCTCTTTCAAAGGAAGCATGCAGGACTCTGACACTTCTCCCTCCACGGCTCGCTCTATGGAAGAGATGGAGGAAGATGCTTCGGCCGATGCTCCAGAAACCACAGACCCAGTAAACCAAGACAGAGAAGACTCAGCTGGCAGCCGCTCAGAGACGGGTGGAGCAGAGGATGTCTGGGTTCCCGCTACACTCGAACAGCCTATTCTGCTGGAAGATCCGCTTGTGCTGAACACTCCACAGATCTCCATACCGAAGAGGGACAAGGATGAGTCCAAACGCAGCCTTTGGATCAATCAGCAGGAATTCCCAGCTGTGAGTATAATATATTTCAAGCACTGTTGACATGTTGTTGTTTTTTTTGTTGTTATTTCTATCCAGAATAGAAAACATTTGGAATGCATCTCTATAACAAATAAATACACAAATAATACACAATTAGTAAATTAATAAATAAAAGACCATTGTCTTTAAGTCTGGGGTAAATAAATTTCTCATTAATGTTGACTAAAAATGAAAGTTTTAGTTTAGCATTCCTTACTAACGTTTTTGTCTACAGGAAAGTGTGATTTATCTTAAAAAGTGGTCCCTAGGAAGAAATCCTAAAGGCCTGTTTGTCACCGGGATTCACGGGTAAGTGTGTCAACAAAAAGTCACAGTTTTATAAGTCATAGCCTGTACTAATAAAGCATCAACATACAGACATAATGTTTCGTTCCAGTCATAAACGTGGGACTTTTCAGATCCTGTGTGGTGGTGTGTGAACTCTGGTGTTTTGTACTTGACTGATCTTCCAGGACCGACAACATTCTGTGGAACAGTAGTTTCATCGTGGACAGAGTCTCATCAAGGGTGCTGAAAACCGCCTCCGGTCGGGTGTACGTACTGGTTGGGAAAATTAAAATGCATCGTGATTCTGGTAAGCCCTATCATTCACACCTGATCAAATAATAATGGGAACCTGCATTAGCCAGAATTAAAGGTCTCGTTTGCTGAGTCACAATGAGCTTCAGATGTTTGCTGAACGTGAAAATGTTTTTCTAGCCGCAGAAAGGAACCAGATGGCAAAACGATTTGACTCATGGACTCGCAGAAGGCTGTGTTGACTTTGCAGCCGTGAGGGGAGAGCAGACCTCGTTTTGGCTAGTAGAAGCTAAACATTAGCATTAAAACTCCACAACATGGTGGAACATGCGCAGGCTTTTGTTATTTGTGGAGATGAAACATCAATGTTACATTTTTTACCCAAACCAAGAGCGAACAGGGACAGCGGAAGAGTTGCATTGCTGTTAGCCAATCAGAGAGCTGTTCAGATATCATGTCATGAATATTAATGAGTGACCCTGACTCTCCACTGAATGCATGAGTGTCGTGAAACGTCTGTGAAGTATAATGGGAAGCTAATAAGTGCAGCTAAAGTCAATGGGATTGTTTTCAACGTACGTGCAGCGGCCCGTCCCTCCAGTTAACGCTCTACGATTCCAGAGCACGTCGAGCTCAGCAGTTCAGATCAGGCCAGACTGGAAATCAAACATGGGGGATTTTTAAAACATCTCTGGCAAATTTCAAAATAAAATGCAGATTTCAGTTTGCCTAACTATATAATAAAATACATAGTTGCCTGTGACGCCTCCTTGGTGGAGGTAAACAGAAGAATAAACTACAGACCTTTTGGAAGCAAGCCATCATCTTTGTTTATGTTTATTCACTTAGCAGACGCTTTTATCCAAAGCGACTTACAATTTATAACCTATAGGGCATGTTGTGATCTGTGGGGGAAACCGGAGTACTCGGCGGACACCCACGCATGCATGGGGAGAACACGCAACTCCACGCAGAAAGGCCGCAGCCGAGTTTCGAACCTGCAACCTTCATGCTGCGAGGCAACAG